CTATTATGCAAGTTCATCATGCGACACCATACCAGATCGGTTGAAGCCAGGGTTAACAACCGATACTGTTGACAAACAGGGTGACAGGGAAATTGTGCTACTGTTAGTCGAAGACAACGAGGACGGAAACGTGTCAGGAGACAGAGGGAGAAGAGGAAAGTCAAGAATGTAGGACTGAGGGTTGCAACTCTAAATGTGGGGACAATGACAGGCAAAGGTAGAGAGCTGGCTGACATGATGCAGAGAAGGAAGGTAGATGTTTTATGTGTCAACGAGACCAAGTGGAAGGGCAGCAAGGCTCGCAGCATTGGAGTAGGGTTCAAACTGTTTTACCATGGTGTGGATAGAAAGAGAAATGGGGTAGGGGTGGTCCTAAAGGAGGAGTTGGCAAAGAACGTAGTAGAGGTGAAGAGAGAGTCAGATAGGGTGATGTGCCTGAAGGTAGAAGTAGAAGGTCTGATTCTAAACATTGTTAGCAGTTATGCTCCACAGGTTGGATGTGATGATGAGGAGAAAGATACATTTTGGAAAGATCTGGATGAAGTGATGGAGAGCATTCCCAGGGAGGAGAATAGTGATCGGAGCAGACCTCAATGGACATGTTGGTGAAGGAAACAGAGGGGATGAGGAAATGATGGGTAGGTTTGGTGTCAAGAAAATAAACCAGGAAGGACAGATGGTGGTGGATTTTACCAAGAGAATGGAAATGGCTATAGTTAAAACCTATTTCCAAAAGAAGGAGGAACATAAAGTGACCTATAAGAGTGGAGGAAGGAGTACGCAGGTCGACTGCATTCTGTGTAGAAGAGGAAACCTGAGGGAGATTGGGGACTGTAAGGTTGTGGCAGGGGAGAGCGTAGCCAGACAGCATCGGATGGTTGTGTGTAGAATGACTGTTGTTGTGAAGAAGAGAAAAAGAGTAAAATCAGAGAAGAAGTCTAAATGGTGGAAGCTGAAGATGGAAGAATGTTGTGAGAAATTCAGAGAGGAGCTAAAGGCTCTGGGTAATAAGAAAGAGCTTCCAAATGACTGGACTACTACAGCAACAGTAATTAGAGAGATAGGTAGGAAGGTACTTGGTGTGTCATCTGGACAGAGAATGGATGATAAGGAAACATGGTGGTGGAATAGTGAAGTGCAGGACGCCGTTCAAAGAAAGAGGTTAGCCAAGAAGAAATATGACAGTGAGAGGACTGAAGAGAGGAGACAGGAATATGAGATGCAATGTAGAGCAAAGAGGGAGGTAGCAAAGCAGAAAGTGTATGATGAGTTGTGTGGAAGGTTGGACACTAAAAAGGGCAAGAAGGACTTGTACCGATTGGTGAGACAGAGGGATCAGGCTGGAAAGGATGTGCAACAAGTTAGGCTTGTGAAATATTGTGGACTATGATGTTTACAGATGACATTGTGATTTGTTGTGAGAACAGGAAATATGTGGTCGAGAGTTTAGAGATGTAGAAGTACAGTATGCACTTGAAAGAAGAGGAATGAGTCAGTCATAGTAATAAAGTACATGTGTGTGAATGACAGGGAGGCAGGTGGAACAGTGAGGCTACAAGGAGCAAAGGTCACAAAGGTGCAGGACTTCAAGTACTTAGGGTCCACTGTCCAGAAAAATGGGGGATGTGGTAAAGAGGTGCAAAAAAGAGTAGGTAGGATGGAGTGGATGGAGAAAAGTTTCAGGAGTGATTTGTGACCAAAGGGTGTCAGCAAAGGTCAAAGGAAAAGTTTACAAGACAGTAGTGAGACCAGCTATGTTATATGGTCTGAAGACAGAGACATTGACAAAAAGACAGGAGAAAGAACTGGAAGTGGCAGAAATGAAGATGTTGAGTTTCTCCTCAGGAGTGACAAGGATGGATAAGATTAGGAATGAGATCATCAGAGGTACAGCATTGGTTGAACAACTGGGAGATGAAGTTAGAGAGACCAGACTGAGATGGTTTGGACATGTCCAGAGGAGGGACAGTGGGTATATTGGTAGAAGGATGTTAGAAATGCAGCTGCCAGAAAAAAGACAAAGATGAGCTGTATGGATGCAGTTAGAGGACATGGAGGTAGTTGGAGTGAGGACAGAGGATGCAGAGGACAGAGTGAGATGGAGGAAGATGCCTTTCTGTGGCGACCCCTGAAGAGGGAACAGCTGAAAGAAGAAGGTATTTTCAGGCTACAGTCCACTTTGGTCATAGCTCCACTCAAACTAGCCATTAGCTCATCAGTCTGGCGAGAATAAATGAATCATTTCACACATTGAGACTCAAACCAGACAAATCAGAGAAAAACTCCACTCTACTGCCAGTGGGGGGCTCTTGTTAATATCTTCAACATTATTTCACACAAAAAGTTTGACCACAGCTGTAGCGAAGCTGCAAGACATCCACATGGTGGTGAAAGTATTGGAATATATTGACAAATGTACAAATGTAACTGGATTGCTCAGATGGCCCTTCCATTTGCATATATTCTCATATCAAGTAGTTTTTAAAATTAATTTCCCTACATTTTTGTGTCTCTGAATCAATATTTAAATGGCATGGTCATCCGGTTCCTGCGTCATTGGTTTACATTTGCATGTGAGACAAAAACGTGTACAGATGCAAATTTAAAAACATCATTTACTCATACATATTGACAAACGTGGCAGCACATTGTTGTGCATTTGTACAATTTAAACCAGAATTTCTTAAAATGCACTGTTTTTGTGCTAAAGACCTCTTGTTTTAGAACATAAAGATCTGCAGTACATATTTGTCACTGTGGTGTTGGAAAAAACTTTAAGGATGTACGATGACGCTTCAGTGTCTTCGCTACTAGTTGTAGTCAAAAATGTGCATTAAATAATAACATAGATACAAACAAGAGCGCTAAAATTCAACTGTCCCTTTAACAATCTGCTGAATTCAAGGTGAATTTCCAGCCTGAAGCGACTGAACGGTCAGTGAAAGAATAGTGCAACCAGTTTTTTTTACTCTTGTTTTCCTCCTTTTAAATACTTTGTACACGTAGAAGAAATAAAACATAAAAGTCCCACTTTTACACAACATCATACATTATTAGTCAACTAGAAAAAACAGTAAACACGGCCACATGTGAGTAGAAAACGTCGAGAAGATCAAAGTTACATTTCTTTTTACATACCAGTCGCTAGTTTTATTCCCTAACTCCACGTCAGACTCTTATTTATAGAAAAAAATCCTCACAAAGTTCACATTTAGGACTCTTTGTAAAGAACTGAGTAGCATCCAAGAAACCAAACAGTTCCAGTTGTTTTTTTTGTTTTTTTTAACAAAGCTAGTTAGTCACACGCAGCATGAGATTAAATATGCAACAGTTTGGAAACACCTCATGCAAACACACACAATCCTGTCTTGGAGACATTTGGAACCTAAACCCATAGTTTTGTTACAAAACAAATAATCTGCTGAAGATAACTGCAGGACGGAAGTGGAACTCTGCGGCTTTTTCTTCTATCACCAGAAGCCCCCCCTGAAGTGTTCCTCAGCAGAAGAAGGCTTTAAGACTTTTGGTCCAGTGAATGCAACACGAAAAACAACACATTTGGTCAAATTTCCCCAAAATTCTGTCCCGATTTTCTTGTTTTCTTTTTTTTTCTTTAGACCTGTTTTTGGTCCTGAACCTGGACTAAACAGGTCCATGAAGTGGATCAGTTGGCACATTCAGCTTTTAAATTTGAGTTTTAGGGTGACAAGAGATCTGCTCAGCCTCCTGCCTTCTCACATAAATAAAAATAGTCCGAGGGTGGACGAGTACCATCGAGGACTGAACATCTGCTGCCTTTCCTCTTGTAGCTACAGTATTTGACCAGTTACCAGTCCCAGTGGTGATAAATAATAAATCAAACCGTTCACTTTAGAAGACTATCATTCAGTTATTTTTCTTCAACAGTATTCTGTATGCAAAGACTTTAGCTGCTTTGACTCTGATTGTCTTTTCTGTCAGTGTCCCCTGCAGCGCATCTTAACAGTTACAAGAGTTGGATCCTGTGAATGAATATTAAAACTTAAGAAAAGAGAAATAGTAGCCTGCTCAGTGTTGTGACTGAGGAGGGCGGTCTTTTTCTTCTGTTTTGTCTTTTCTGTCACTCTATCTACCTGAAGCGGAAGACAAAATGTTTCTAAAGCACAAACGGAAACTAAATCCTTGATGCATCCGATCGTCAAACGTCCCGTCTTTCTGTCAAGCAGACAGAATATCTTTTGTAAACAGTGTTAGGATTCACATTAGCAGATGAAACGACGAGTGATAAATCAGTTTGAAGCTTCTTTATGTGCGTCTGCGTATTTTCAGACTTGCGTCTTTATTGTCCACATGCTCGTATGAAGCGACACGCCACACCTTTAGTTAACATTCATGAAGCACCAGAGCAGAGAAGTGGACGCCACGACTTGCAAGATCTTAACCCCCCCCCCCCCAAAAAAAAAGATAAAAGTAGAAAAGAGACATCCAACATTCTTCTTTAGTCGGTAGTCCAGTTTGCAGGTCCTTATTGAATGTCCAGAAAGTTTTCTTTCAGGCAACAAGAGCAAAAAGGACCCAATGACTGGTGAACGGGTTCAGCAGGAAGTGCAGCTCCAGGTTGATTTGTGTTTTCAGTCTTTGGTCGAGCGTGTCTGCGTGTAACTTTACCAGAACTCAAGAAGTCTCCGGACGGCGTTCACTATGAATGTTTGTTCCACAACAGGACTTTTAATTTCTTCTGGAAATCATCCAGAGGCAACGCATCACCGATGAGTTGTTGCCTTTTTTGCATCCCTTTGGTTTCCTTTGTAGTGCTGATATCCACAACAAAAAAAAGGGGGGGATGTCATTAAAAAGGTTTTACAAAAAGTTTCAATGTGGCTCCTGCAGTTATCACTTTCAGCCACATGGTGTCAGTGTTTATTCAATTAGCAGACAGAACCACCGACGCCATCAGACCAGGCTGTTCTGGGTAGTTGGACTTCGACTTGCAGAGCATCATGTGTTCTCTGTCTACTCGTTTGTTAAAAGAGGGCTGGGGAGGTGGAAGCAGGACTCTGGGCTGTAGGTGAGGCAGCTTCTCTCCAGTAGCTTCTGGGTTTATTTTGACCTTTGGAGAAAGTGAAAAAGAGAAAGAAAGATGGTTAAAAAAGAAACAGAAAGACTTTTGGTCAACATCATCATCCATCCATCCATTTTCTTTACCCGTTTATTCCATTTTGGGTCACGGGGGTCACTGGTGCCCATGTCCAGCAATCACTGTGCGAGGGGCAACATCATCATATAAGTATAAATTTTAAATTAAAGCCAACCAAACTGTGGCTGTTCCCACTGACAATACAGGCTGCTGGGAAAAAAAATCACTGCTGGACATAGATATCAGCTCCCTGTGACCCATGAAGGAGAAGCAGGTAAAGATGATGGATGGATGGTGTATGAATGGATGGATAAATGGATGGAAAGATGGAAGGATGGACATATAGATGGATGGATGGATGGATGGACAGATAGACATTTGGATGGATGGATGGACGGACAGATGGATGAAAGGATGATGGATGGACAGGGATGGATGAAAGGATGGACAGATGGATGGACATTTAGGGGCGGCTGTAACTGAGTGGTTAGAGCAGTCGTCCTCCAATGCGAGAGTTGGGGGTTTGAATCCACCAGCAGTCACATGCCAAAGTGTCCCTGGACAAGACACTGAACCCTCATAGCCGCCGATGTGTGTCCCATCAGTGTATGAATGTGATAAAGCTCTGATTAGTGTCTTTAGAATGATTTGTTCAATTAGCTTTGTAGAGATCTAGTAGAGTGCTGTATGAATGGGTAAATGAGGCACAGATTGTAGAGTAAAGAGCTTTGAGTATCTTGATCAGATAGAAAGGCACTATATAAGTACCATTATAAGTAAGTATATTTACCATTTACATTTGGACAGATGGATTAACAGATGAATGGATGGACAGATGGATGAATAGATGGATGGATGTTTGGACAGATGTATGGATGGATAGAGGGATGGATGGATGGATAGAGGGATGGATGTATGGATGTTTGAACAGGTGGACAGATGGATGGATGGATATATGGACATTTGTACAAATCAATGGATGTATGGATGGACAAATGGAAGGATGGACATTTGGACAGATGGACGGACTGATGGACAGATGGACGGACTGATGGACAGATGGACGGACTGATGGACAGATGGATGTAGATGATAAAATTCAACACAGTCTGTTTCTTCTTCATCTCTCTGACAGATAAACTCAACAGCACATTGCTGCTTGAAGAGAAGATCACAAACTCTTCTCTGTGTTTTTTAAGTGATAACTTCCCTCCGGGGAAATCTTACAACACACCAGCTCTGTGTTGACTTCTTTTTTCTAACTAGGACTGAATCTGATTAGTTTGGTGGATCAAACTATTTATTCTTGGTTAATGGTTTTATTTGAGAAAGTCGAGTCAGATTTGCTGAATTTGCACTTTATGAGTTCAACATTTCGCTAAAACTACTAAAAATAACTATGGAAAGAATATCTAAAGATACAACACAAGTGCCACTTGTAGCATTTAGATGTATTTAATTTAAACACATTGAAATAATAATACTGTAATAACAATAAAATACGAAATTATAACAAGAAAATCCACTTTAACAACCCATCAAAACTCAGAGAAATATTCACAGCTTGGCTAAAATTAGTCATAACATAAATCACATAAATCACATGTTATAAGCATGACTTTGGAGTATTACGTCAGTAAAAGGTATTTTCTTCAATGTGTTCATGGGAGTTAATTTAATTGGTCGAGCTGTGGAACTTGTGATTGTTACTTTTGTTTGTAGATGGTTATGCTTTTGTGTGTGTAAGAGCAAAAACACAGCTGATGCTGTTTTAGCGCTCCCTTTGGACGGACAATAAACACCAAACTGAGGGGCGACAACGGCTGGGGAACAATGATGGCATATTGATGATGCTAGTGTAAGTATGTGTGTATCTAAGTGTTTGTCTATAAATGTGTGTGTGTGTGCATGAGGGAGACCACGATCCTGTTTATGAGCAACAGCTATCAGCACAAATACAGTCTGGATGTCTGTGTGTTGAGTGTGTGTGCGCTGCTTGTGCATGGATGTGTGCACTTACACTACATCTGTGTTGTGTTTGCAGCCATTATTTAGAGGCTTGGTGATTTATGAGCCAGGTTATGGCTTTCACCAGGGACATATAAAACTACAGAATAGTCCTTTATTGGCTTTCTTCTTTGTTTAGCCCTACGTATCATCCATCACTCCGTTTCTCTCTTTTCCCGCCTTCTTTCGCTCCATCAGAGTTTCCATCTCTGTGCCTCCTCTGTAATTTGCTCTGGTTCTTGTCTCATACAAACTGGTATCGATAATCTGTCTGCTGCACATCAGTGGCATCACCGTTATTTCATCTCGCTGTTTGCTACGTTGCTGTAGCTTTATCTGGATCGCTTCCCCGAGGACAAACTTAGATGCTGAGATTGGTGTGGATGATGTGTAGGCCTGGACCCAGATGTGGTTTTGTGACATCTAATATCTTTGGGTTTCACACAAACTCAACTCAGCCACACAAATACAGAAAAACAACGAGACACGGCAGCAAAATACATTTTATGACACAACAGTAAAATTTTTTTTTCTTCCAGTTTGTGAGGGTTTATTAAAAAAAAAAAAAAAAACAGCTTCAGTAAAAATTAATCAAAGATTCAATGTTTTAAAATAAAATACTCCACATTCATTTAATGTGTAAAAACACCAACATTAGGCTGGAAAATCATTTTAATGCTCACTATGGACAAAAAATGCTTTCATCATCTTATGTATGCGTGTTAAAACCAGAGGACAATGACTCCCTGTTGATAAATATTCACTGTTGGGAATATTTAAATTAAATATTTCATTCCCAACCGTTATAATCCAAAGAGTACTTTTGCTTCTAATCTAAATAAAACTATTCTAAAGTCACAAAAACTACTTTAAACTTGAAGTAAACATACAACTGAGGACGTTTTACATTAATACCTTGTATTTTTCATGTGTTAGGACAAAGGTCAATTTATTTTAAGAGCTTTTTTTCTAGTGCAGACCCTGTATGATACAATTTAAATATTAACTTGTGCAAGCAAAAGGTGAATCCTTTCTTAATTTGGGGGAAACTAACAAAAAAAACATACAAATTTTGAAATAAAGTCGTCCAACAAACAATTAAATCATTGCATGTTTCACTATGAATTTGCTCTGATAAAGGCAGAAGCATTAATTTACTTGAACTATAATTAAGGCTTATTCATTCTAATTCTAATTTGAATACACAATTTTTAAATATTTTTGGTTTTAACTTTTTGTTCATGTGTATCATCTATAATAATAATAATAATAATAAGCATCATTGACTACTGTCTACCACATATTTTGTAATAAATGAGTGAAATCAGCAGAATCATGTTTTGTTGCCAACAGTTATGAGTCGTTTACATTCTAACACTGACGGTACACGTCGGACGGGCTCAGCGTATGATGGATATTGAGTCAGTGAAATAATCTCTGAGACTAAACAGAGTCAGAGGGAGAACGATGGAATCAGAGATGACAGGGTGAAAACAGAAAGTTAAAGGTCTCTCTCCTGAAACAAACCCAACACTGACTAAAAGCTGTAAGGACGGGAGTCGAGTCGAGTGAGTTTAAGCAAACTTAGATCTAAGGTGTTACACAAATGAGCTGTGACGAGATATCCTGAACTCCTGAACTTCTGATCATAACTGATCGACTAAATTTAGTTGCAAACAAAAGCGAAGAATATTTGCTGTTTTCTAACACAAACTTTATGAAAACCCTGATGAGACTGACTTACATTCACCTCCAAACATTCATTTAATGATGTAGAAACTGTACCAAACCATCCATCCATTATCTTTTACCCGTTTCTTCTTTTTCGGGTTGCGGGGGGTCACTGGTGCCCATGTCCAGCAGTCACTGTGTGAGCTGCAGGTCTCCAGTCCATCACAGGAAACAACCATTCACTCTCTCACTCACACCTAGGGACAATTTAGAGTTACCAATCAGACTAACATGCATGTTTTTGGTCTGTGGGAGGAACTGGAGTACCCGGAGAAAACCCACGCATGCACGGAGACAACATGCAAACTCCACCCAGAAAGGCCCCTTGCAGGGATTTGATCCAGCAACCTTCTCACTGAGAGGCAACAGCTCTACCAACTGAGCCACCGTGCTGCCCCTGTACCAAACAGCTGTTGTGACTTTGAAAGTGTTTTCCTTTACTGCGATGTCTAGTTCAGGGGTCTGCAACCTGCGGCTCTGGAGCCATATGTGGCTCTTTGGTCCCTCGGCAGCGGCTCTTTCAGGCTTTGACCAAAACTAAAATAAAACAGAATTTTATTTAAATTATTGCCAACAATGAAAACAGCTAGTTTAATAAGATTTCCTGTCATTTTCCAATATGTGAAGAGTAGTACAAGTACAAGGCATAAAACATGTGCACTATATCATGCTAGTAGTTTGTTAGCCACTTTAAGTCGACTTCCAGTCTCTCAGTGTGATGTTTCTCTCAAAACCACCAGAACGTTTTGGAATATCTTTAAGACAAGTTGCTGAGAAGGAATATTTGATGACACTAAGAATAAAACACAAAAAACAAAGTACACAAATGTATTAATTTTTCTTTAAAAATGTAATTGTATATCCAAAATACTGGCCTAATTTTATACTGTCTTTAACTAGGGTACTTAATTCTTCAACAATTAACAAAACTCACATTGGCCTTTAATTTTTACAAAATAGTTAAAAATTATATATTTTATCTTTCTTTACATTAATCTGGTCTTTTCTTTTGTATTATAATGTAAAAATATCAATAAATTATAATACTGTAATAGACTTTTTTTTGTTTTATAATATCACCTCCACTGTTTGGAAAAGCCTTCTCCAACAAACTTGTAGTGGTCCACGGGTCACCAGTTGACAGATGTAGCAGGTTTTACAGCTCCGGACAATGTAATTAGTAAGCAAAGTGTCAAATATGGCTCTTTTTATCACAAAGGTTGCAGACCCCTGGTCTAGTTAGTTGTCTTCTAATGTATCACGACTGGTGTCATTGTCGGTCTTTCTTAAAAACTGTTAACATTTTGTTATAAGCTACAACAGCAGGTTTGACCTGAAGTTGCATGACGCATGCTTAGCTAAAAAGAATCGACGACAGTGTACCTTCTTGATGTTGTGTCCATGGTGGAATATTTCAACATCTTGTGATTTCAAATAGTCAAAGAGACACTCAAAAGTTAGGGGTAGGGGAAATAAGAGAAAGGCTTTAGCTTTAAGAGGTCAGTGAGGACTGATTTCTGATGTCCGTCTCCCCAGTGTTTAAACCTCATGCCGAACATGTTGTGTCCTAAAGCAGCCTTAACATCTGAGGGTGTCTGTATCGTGGGTTTTATGTTACCTTTAGGGTTTTCTTCCTGTGCTTAGTCTTATTTTTCTGCTCCCCTTCACAGATGTCAGTCAACACACTGGTTCCTGTCTTGGTACTCCACCTCTCAGTTCTCATGGTTTTTGTTCATTCGCTGCCAGTTTGTTCCTACGATCTTATTTGTTTTCCTGTCATTTTTATTTTTAGTTAATTTTTTCCCCAGGCATGGCGGCGCTGTGCGTTTTGTTGTCAGTAAAACCCTCCCAGACCTGCTCATAACCTTCAGAGCGGCACTGGCCTGCGTATGTGTTCTTCATCCAAACCTACCATTTCCTAACACGCAGTGGAGTATAACATATTGAATGTTGGCAGCCATTTCTTTGGGTTTCCAGGCGTGAGGCCTTCCATGGATCAAACTTATTCCAGCACCTCAGCAGCACCAGCTTGACTGGATTATAAACAGTTGCATCTGAAGGTCAGGTCTATCTTGGGTTTTCTATTGAATGACTAGCAAGTTTCTGCACAGTCCGTGGTGAATCACATTGCTCTGCACAAGGTCGCTGTTGTTGGGGAGATGTGTTGCCACAGATGTGCACTTGAATTGCAGCGGCCTTTATTTGGATGAGATTTATCAAAGTAACGCTCAGTTAAAATACCAACCCCTGAGCTTTCTTGGTGGAACAGTTTTATAACAAGATAATCAATGCTCTCCACTTTTACTGATGCGCTTGACAGGAGCACGAGATCTTATCCACAGTTTTATAGCTACAGCATTTAAAGAAGACAGCTGCAGACAGAAATAAACAGGCAGAGTTCAAGTCCACTTACATGTACATGGGCTGTAGCTGAAGGTGTGAAGTCTTCTGAGGACCTTGGTAACCATAGGAATCAAATCCACCTATAAAATCAACTGCACACACACGGCATTAATTAAAGAAAGCCTGTAACATTTGGGATTTTCTTTTTATAATGACCTCATACACCTACAGAAGGGTGGCTGGAACATCTTGTACTTGAACCACCGTCTCTCCTGCTTCTCAGTTACAGGCACGAAACTGTGCGGAAAAACTTAGGATGCAAAGCTAAGTCTATTTCTGTGAACAGGACTGAGGATTATGCTGCAGCGTATTTATGTTTATGAAGTGCTCTTAAGCTTTAAATGATCTTGGATAGTTCCACTGATTTGTGTGGCGAGAAGCTGCCGGCAGGTGGTTGTTCTTCCCGGTTTGAGGCAGAAATCCTGGAACGCTGAGAACAGGATTTGTCTTTTCTTTTATGTTGCAGAGCTCATAAATAGGTACCCCCTCCTTGATCAGCTGCACACTTCCTCATTTATTCAGTGAGATTTCACAACATCAAGTACAACGTGGACGTTGAGAACTATGGAGGACAGGATGTGACAAGATGAAATAAATAAATACATAACAATTAAATGTATCATTTAATTATTAAAAACGTAATTAAATCATGAAATGTACAATAAAATTATTAAATACACCATTAAATAATGAAATGTACCTTTTAAATTATTTATGCCATGATTTATGTATTTATTTAATTTTGCCACCTTCCACCCTCCAGTGACACCATGAGATTATGTTAACTGTCAGCCTCGCTCGTCAAGCTCGGTGGGCGGGACTAACCCTAACCCTGACGCCTGATTGGCTGCTCCTCACAGCAAGCGAAGACAAATCAACCACAGATAATCGATTGATCCACAGGCCAGAAAATATATTCCGAAACATTAAGAAGCGTTAACTGTGCTTACGTGTATTTGGATGAAACATTTTTTCATACCATGAATGTAAAGAAGAAGACGGGCTTTTACGAGAAGCAGCAAACTTAAACGAAGAAGCTCTCGGAGGCTCCACAGAGTCGGACCTACGGCCCGATGCAGCAGTGTGGATTGCAAACTCCGGCCTGTGTGCAAGGTAAGAAATATTATGTTAACTTGGGGTAATGCTCGTGAAACACTTATGGCTTATCTAACAATTTAGGATTTCACATGCTCAGCATTAGTCCCGCCCACTGAGTTTGACGAGTAAGACTGACAGTTAACATAATTTCATGGTGACACACGAGGGTGGAATGTGACAAAATTAAATAATTGAATAAATCATGAAATAAATAATTAAATCATGAAATAAATAATTTAATTGTGTATTTAATGATGTATTTAATAATTAAATGATTATTATTATTAATTATTAACCTTTATTTAACCAGACAAATCCCACTGAGATCACAGATCTCTTTTGCAAGAGAAGCCTGGGCCTGAAGGCAGACTAACACATGTTTTCAGTCTGTGGGAGGAAACCGGAGTTCCCGGTAAAAACCCACACAAGCACAAGAAGAACATGCAAATTCCACACAGAAAAACCTCTGGTCTAACCAGGGATTGAACCCAGGACCTTCTCCAGGATTTCATTATTGTGTTTTTATTTAATTTTGTCACATTCCGTCCTCCATAGAAGATCCACTGTTTGTATAAAGTCTGTAGTAAAATGATGATAGTTCATATGTGATGTTGCAGCCGGCACCAAGAGTTTACAGCTTCCTACCCTCCACATGCCCACCCAAATTAAAAAACACAGATTAACAGTGTTGAAATTAAAGTGTTACAATATAACGATAAAAAAAACAAAAACAATTACAGTTGCAATTTTTTTTTTTTTTTTACTGTAGGTATTCATTAAAGTGCTATTTCAGGTTATGATACAAAAAAGCAGCCTATATTTCCTCAGTTTGGGAACATCTCTGTGGCACCAAGAGTGGCTGATCAAATCAGTCAGTCCACACATTGATAACAGATGAAGCCTTAAAAAGGTTATTTGTTCAAACATCATGTATCTATAAATATTATATCAAATGAACCCAGTTTTTGCAGCACTGAGCCAAGAGTCATGAGAACCTGAGGAATTTGACATATTTAGTCACAATTTCCTCATTATTTATGATCTATTATTATTTATCATCATCATTATTTTTGTCCTAATTTGTGGTAAACAGGACCCTGTGATGGTGACCTCTCGCCCTTTGGCTTCTTGAGATTGGCACCAGCTTCACGCTGCTTTGCACGGGAATGTGCGTAAAAAAAAAACGGAGGGATGTTGAATCACATCTTCTGACAATGTTTAAAAAATAGTACTGAGAACAAACAAAGATGATGGCTATCTTTTGACTGTCATTTTCTAGGTGCCTTGACAAAATGCTTCAGTCTTGGTTTGGGCTAGGCCTCTTGTGGTGGGAATCTGTTTGTTGGTCTGTTTAGATTCTTGTGTTTCCTGCACTCCCCAGTGTCCCCAGTGTTTTCCCTCCTTGGTGTCAGCTCCTGTTTCACCTGTCTCAAATTCTAATCCCCAGGTGTTTGTCATTTTGTCTTCTCAGCCTCCCTATATATTCAGCGTCTCTGTGTTGTTTCCTTTGTCCGTGGATTGTGCTTACAGCCTGTCATGTCTGTCCCTCCATCGTCTCATCATTTGTTCATGTAAGTTTTTGTTGCCCCGTCAGCTTTTGTTTTTCTTGTTAAGAAATTAGTTTATTTTTATCTTGGAGTCTCCTGTGTCTGCCTGCACATGGGTTCAACAACTTAAACAACAGATCATGTCACTTGTCTCCATCGATGGGCAATCTTAATGCTTCAGCATTGCAAGCTATTTTAGATAGGGCCCTTTTGCATTCAAACATTACTGTGCTCCAGTGCAACAACAAAGAACTCTAATGGCATTTTTGGTGTGAAAGAACTTGTTTAGGATGAAGTGAAATCAGCCAGACCTTCTCATCAAACGTCAGTCTGACTTCACAAATGTTCTACAGAAAGAATGAGCACAAATTCCCACATAAACGCTTTAAAACTCTTGTGGAAAACATCACCAGAAAGCAATGGCAGAGCCAGGGGGTGGCCAGGGCCATCATAGATTTATCATCGGACACCCTGTTGGCCACCCTCCCACCACTTTGCCAACAACTTTTCATGCTTATGTGATGCAAGAGGGTAAAAACATTCGGTGATCCAGTTTGTTTCCACCAGTGGACTACCTGGAAAACAAGGCAATGAATAAAGGTCTAAATAAAGGTTGAATGAATGTTTCTTTTTCATTTCAGATTTCTTTTTTTTTTTAACAAACTTAGGAACACATTAAGGAGACTGATGTAATTCTACATAGTCACTATCTTTATAAGTGAATGAGGAAATTACAAAGAAACACAACTAGAACCATAGAAACTTGCCATGTTTACAGGTCTCTCTTGAACATGAGTCCTTGTGACTCAGTGAGACTAACCTGTATAAATAAAGGTTGAATGAATGTAGGGGGTAAAGATATTCTGGGCCACCCCTGTATGAGCAATAGTCTCACTCCGGCCACTCTTATATAAAATTGTCTGGCTCCGCCATTACCAGAAAGGTGGAAGCATTGATTAGCTTCATACAATCCCTGTTGGTATAAATGTCAAACTCAAACAAAATTGATGATATGGAAACTGTTCTAAAGACGCAGGACTAAAAGATCCAGTAAAACACAATGCAACATCAGAGAACAGGACTGAAATGAACAGTCTACAGCATGCGATTCTCTGGTATACAAAAGTTGCACCTCATGAAGTCAGTCCATGACTGTTGTCATCACTCTTTGTTAAAAACAGGTCTCTCTTGAAAACGAGTCCCCGAGGCTCAATGGGATTAACCCGTCTAAATAAAGGTTGAATGAATGAAGACGTCTATTGATATTGCATGAACTAAACTGAACCTGAGATTCAACAATGAAATGTTTTCCCCACAGTGCAGTCATAAATATGTTAAGTTATGTACGTTTATGAACTTTAACAGTTATATTTGGTATTCATCTTAAAAATGTAAATAAATTATGTCCTGTTGAAAGGCTGCTAGTGACAAAGTGTCTAAACAGTCTATTTTAAATAGTTATTTGTAATGTGCCAACAAAAGACTGGTTCATCCCTTTAGTTTAGTTTATTTAAGATTGAATGATTTAAATGTCAGGTAGGTGGTTGAAACAAAAAGACATTAAATACTGCTATTGACCCCTTTTCCTGATATTTCCTGGCAATTATTTTTTCAGTAGTTTCAGCTGAATATGGCTCTCGACTCAGTGAGGAACATCTCCTCATGCTGGTTATATTCCTTCTTTCTGTGGAGCTCCTTTGTGGGAGAGTGTCTCATTGTAGATGGCGACGCTTTCCCGCTGATTCATGTTGCAGTCAAATTGTCTCTGCAGACGTTTCTTTGCTCCATCCTCTAAACATTAGAGAAAATGGAGCCTTTAAACCTGTCACTGTGCTGCCAGTCAATCTTTTAAGACCCAATTTAAGCTTCAGATATGATATTCATAAGGCTCTGGATTATCCAAGTTTCTCTGAAATATGAGAACCTTTGGATTCACATTTTTCAATGATAAAAAAAGCCTAAACTTAAAAAAAAAAAGATAATTATTTGCCCTGAACCAAAGCCTTCAACGTGCATAAAATCTAATCTGAATATGGCTTTATTTACATGCGTTTAGATATTCATGTGTTGTTTTGTTTACTTGTATATTTGATAAGAATCTGACACTTCTGAGTTGCTTTGAGAGTGTTTATAATGAATCCCCCCCCCCCCCCCCCCCCACACACACACAATTATCAGAGTAATTAGCTTTCTCAGCAATTCAAAGTCTTCATCGGTCCTTAGTGAGTATTAGCTCCTTCACCCGAGGCACATTTCCCCACAAAGCTGTCTGATTAGTGTTTATTCTTCCAGACTGCATTACGGCGCCACTTTCCCCATCGACATGTTCAAGACTTCAGGCTCAGCAGCAAGAAGATTACAACTAATCCCAAAATTATTCCTGAGAAATTAAGCAAATGATGCTGTGACTCGCTTTAATACTTATTAAGCGCTAATGGTAGCCAAAT